GTAAGTTTCATCTGTGTGTGAAGATGCTGCAGGCCGTGGCGTAGTGCAAATCAAAAATGAATGAACGTTCGAAGTGAAGTAAACTGTAATTCCCGTGCTCAGGGAGTAGGGAGCAATGAACACTATGTAGGGACCATGTCAATCAGAACACAGTTCATGCATGGAGCGCTCTTCTAACGAGCTGGTTATCTGAATCAGGTGTGTTAAATAAGAGAGACACATGCAGACATACGCTCTGCAAAATATGCAGAGCGGGGGGTCGTGAGGACTGGAATTGAGAACCGCTGCTATAAAGAACCATCCACAAAGTGAAAAATCTAAACAATCTTAAAACTATTTTAACATTCTCTGATCATTTCAGGAGCGCTCAAAACGTTCTCTTTGATGTGACTGCACATGGTAATTGTACTGGAGAGGAGAAGGTACGAGCAGAATGAAAGTGTACTTTCAGGGCCTGATCTGGTGTGTAAGCAGGGTTCGAGAGGAGCTCATGCTCCACACAGCGTCGCAGCTGAGAGTCTTCCTCGAACATTGTCTCCATGTTGAGGACCAACCAAGCAAACCACACCTTAAAACAAAATAAAAACACAAGAGAGGGAAATGATGACAAAAAAGTAATCAGATCTAGATGCACTGTATAAGCAATAACTTGTACATACCTCTCCTGTGAGAGAATTGCCCTCAATGAAAGATGGAGTAACATTTCCTGCCACTATCCAGCCCATGAGAGATGAGAGCAAACCTCTTTCTCCATGGTAACCTAATGCGCTCTAAAAGGCAAATCCAAAAACACATAAAAAAACATTTCTAAGTATTTTGCTTTAAGCCATTTGTTAAAAGAAGGCTGTTGAAACATCAACCAAGAGAAAAAAAACCTTATGTTGTTGGTAGAGAAGTTTCTGGAGACATTCCTCTTGTTGGTGAAGAAATGCAGCGCGGCACAGGTGGTCCAGAAGGTAGAGAACAGCTTTGTCTCGATGCCAGAGGTTCTGTTCTGTCAAAACCTGAAGCCAGAACTCAAGAACAGCCACTGCGCCAACACGTCCGGGCCTGGAGCTCTCCAGAATATGAGCCTGAAGGACAATAAGATCTTCCCATGATTTTAAAAACCTACACGTTCAGGTTTCAGTTGAAAGGTTTTGTATTTAAAATTGAATTAATTTATACAAAAGTTTGGAGTGAGTACGATTTGTAAATTTTTTAATAATGGAGTTGGATCGTATAATGAATAAGTGCCCAGTATATACGGAAAGTCCTTTAACATATTTCAAAATCCCACCTGGATCACACTGTTTAGGAGTTTGATGTTCTCACATGTAGAGGTACCAATCAGATGCTGGGCCACCTTCTGTGTGACCTGCTGGGTCACACCCTGAGTCCCACTATCCAGCTGCAAGAAGAGCTGCATACAGCTCAGAAACCTGATTAACATTTGGAGAAGAGCATTAGTATTGCTTACATACCTACGGCAATAAATTAATTCATTTTTTATGCTGTAAATAAAAAAACACATTCCAAGGATTATGTAATGTCTGACAGAAAAGGATAAATATATGACAATATAAACATAAATGATCTTAACTGTTCATTCTTGAGCAGGTAGAACTGGCAGTGGTAGACCAGAGGAAGAATGTTTTCCAGTGTGTGCACTACAGCTTTGAGATGACGGGACTGAACCAGAGTCTTCAGAAGAGATATTCCGTCACTGCAGAACTGCTCCAAACTGTCAAATGCAAAACACTGAAAATGAATTCATGTTACTAGATTTGGATTTTCATCCTGCCTGGAACATTACTGTTGATGAATCAGTCAGTCTATGGTCACTACACTTCATCTATTAGAATGATAAGAGTCGCAATATTCTTTCCAAACCTGTGCCCAATGGTGGTCATGTCAATAGCCAGAAAACAGCCGATGGGGATGCCCGCTTTGACTGCTTTGAACACTGGGTGCATGGAGGGAGAGTCTGTGATCTCAGGCACACCGGGGGCGCTGGAGGAGGGAAGAGGGCACCAGGCATCCTGAGGACTTATTTCATTGGCATGGAGCTTTAGCCTCAGAACCAGGTCCCAGGCCCACTGGTTAAAGGAGGATTCTGGAGTCTGGCCGAGCCGCACCACGTTAGCCAGGTAAGACACCTGCAGAAAGTTATCATGCAGAAAATATGAGCTGATAACAGTACAAATGCCACTAGGAAGAACATGTTTATTCTTTGAGGAAACTTGTTAACTATTACAAGTGGCAAATTAAACTTTTGGCTATTATTTCTGCTGATGAATGGAGGTGAATCATTGCAAACTAGACCTTTTACACAGATTAATATGGTCTGTATTAGCTTTATTCTGCATTACCCCACCCCCACACAATAACAAAGCCATATCAGTGCTGATGACAATTAATGTTAATTAAGAGCCTTACTTCAGTATGTGAAACATACCTGTTTGATGCCTTCTGAGAAGATGCCACCATATGGTTTGTCTGTGAGATATTTTTGATATGACTCAATCACCAAAAGTGCGACTTCACTGTGCAAAGATGCTGGTAGAATGAGACAACCATTCTGTTGGTGAGAGAGAAAGTTATACTTCTTATTGTGAATATATAAAAAAAGCTAAATTAATGGTCAGATTAACCACATGAGGAATTAGTTTGTATCAGGCCTATCATCGACTCATCAGGGAATATCAAGATTTAGCACAAAAGTGCACTTTCCATGGAAGCAGCGCTTGTCTTTCATATTCATGACTGAGACTCACAGGCTGAAATCCCCAGTTAAGGCCTTCTAGTATGATGCAGGCTAATCTGTTCTCCACAGCAGTGAGACTGAAGTTCAACAGCCAATCTCGGATCAACCCCACCTCAGCTTGAGCTGGCGTCCACAAGTACACGGGCAACTCCTTGAACAGGTACAGTGACACCTGGAGAGATAATTATAATTAGGGCAAGTAATAGAATGTATCAGTATTTGCTGATCATTCAAAGACATTTTTGTGGCAGATAAGTAAACCATTGAACAGACAATACAAAAAGTGGCTTTAGACGCCAATATATTGTTTGTTTTATTTCCCTATCATTGAACAGAAGCCTATCACTGGTCTATAGCTCATAGAAATCTCACCTACAATTTAATCTACATCTCGTGACATGACTGCCACAATTTTAACAAGATTGAGTAGTCCAAATTTTAAAAATGTATCTCAAGACTGCATTCTGTTCTGCTTCTACAACAGCTGTTCTGAATGCAAATTTAGTGTCGCTTGCTCAACTGTTGTTCTTCATCGTTCTCTGATCATCCAGTTACTACAGAGATCAGTAATCAAGTGTGACTCTTAAAACAGTTCTTATGTCGTTGGTGGACTGACAGATGCTGTACTTCACTCACCATGCCCACTTTCTCTATGGTCTCTCGCAGTCTCTCCAACAGCACAGTGATGATGTGAGGGTGGGCAGTCGCTATAGCTGCAAGCAACTCCCGCCCAACTTTAGAAAAGATCTCACGGGTGGTGATACTAACATAGGCCACCTTACAGGAAAGAGTAATCTAACATTTATTGCATTTAAAACATCTGAATGATGTTATGCTTAGATGATGGATTCATCATAAAGGTCTTCAGTAAAATATCAGAAAAAAAGTCAAATCACCTCGTATATCTCTAGCACTATGTTCCTGACAAATTCAGGGTCTACGTCGGTACGTCTGGGCTGGGCCATGTGTGCAAACGTCGTCAAGAGGCAGATTCCATCTGAGCTGTTTATCTCTGACAGCCAGTGCTGAAACTTCTCCTGATGGCTTGGTTCTGGACATAAATAAACACACAGTAAACCAGTGGTCCACAACCAGGAGACTGGGACCCACTAGGGGGCCTCAGCACACTTCCAAAGGGGGTTTCAAGATGACTTAAAATAAGCTACAAATCAAGATGTAAGCTGCCATATTTTAATTTATTCAAGTAACAACTACTATGTTTTATGTAAAACCATGGTCATGGTCTTAGAAAAACTGTAAATCACAAATGACTTGAAAAGCCAATGTAAATTCATTGGTAAAAAAAAGTCTAAACACTGAAGAACATTGTTATTGAAGCGGAATTTAAGTATTTATAATTGTTTTACTTAAAGTGAGCAGCTTTATCAATACAGCAAATTTAGCACAAATATCTTAGATGGATATTGTCTTTGACAATGGAAGGCCTTAAACACTGCTCTAAACTACTCTTTTTGTGTTCACCAGCATCAGATGTGCTTGGTGTCTCACCTCTGAGCCCCTGAATACAGTCCTCAGCACTCAGGCTACAGCTTAGCTTCTCCAGACCGTCCATCTCTGCACACTGCATAATGTAGAAGATCTTCCACAGCATGGAGCTGGATAACGTACCATAGGGCATCTCAGACATAAACAGCCATATGCCCAGTCTGTCAACCAATAAAGGGTTAGTTAAACAGGCACGGCTTCAGAAAGAGATGTGCATAGTAAATTATTGCTTTAGTTGAAATCTTTTATTGACAGCAAACTTAGAGAGAAGACAGAAAATCATTTAGTGAGAGAGAGGGGGAATGGGTTCAGGGCACAATGCAGGCCAGATGTGAACCTATTTCTCCCATATAAGCACCAAAGTTTGATGTCTGGAGCGTGTGCTCTGGAATTACTCTATACCTTTTGGCCTTGAGCACATACAGCACTGCTCTCAGGAAGAGATGGTCAAACTCCACCTGCAGCTTCTCCATTGAAAACGACTGTTCCTGCATTGTGGTCCTGCTCACACCTCTCAGGCTGATGTACTGCGCCCAGTGGTCACTAACATAACAGAGCGTCATCCTAGAATAAGGAAAAAAACAACAACAACTCCTCAAAGGTCTACTCTGTAAAAAATATGTGATGTCAGTATCTAGTTATGAAAGCCTACTGAATAGTTTCTATAATGCAAAAAATATACACAATAATATCTGTAATTTGTCAGGACATTTTATAGTATGAAAAAGGCTTAATTAAATGAATAAAGCTTACAAACCGAATCATGTAACCAATTCTCTTCACAAATTGGCGATAACGTGCTCTGTTGTAAGTCTGCAAGCCGACAGCAAGCAGTTCGACCAGTGAAGAAGCAAATGCAAATATCTTCATCATCTTTTGACTGCTGGTGGCTTGAGGCTGATAGTCGCCTATTGGCAAGAGTGACATTTAACAGTTTAACTAATCAGAAGTGGTATAAAATGTCAACTTTAACGTACAAATAACTGTTCTAAGGATTTCTAAGTCTTAAGGGAAATGCATGCCATAAGCTTTTTTCCATTTCGGATCCCCATTCACTTTCATTATATAGACAAAAATGGCCGGTACATATTTCAATATTTCCTCATTTGTGTTCTATGGGAAAAGTCACATGAGGGTGAGAAAATAATGACAAAATTAGCCTTTCTTGGTGAACTATTCCTTAAATAGCAAGTGATCACTATACAATCTACTGACCAGTAAATAAGGAGAGCCAGACATACATCAAAAATTACATGGCTGTCTCCACTCAGTTATGTGGCGTGACAACAGTCTCACCTTCAGAGCAGATACCCAGTAAGTGTTTGAAGAGCTCATCAAAGGGAAACTGAGAGAACAGAGAAACCAGATCATCCTCAGACAGCAGCATCCAGCTTGTTTCTGGGTCTTCATCCTGAGAAAGATCACAAGAGTGTTACAGTAGGCATCACATGGCAGTATGGTGTACAGTCATAACAACCACAACAAAGGCTTTGTTGGTGGTTACATAAGAGACACAAAATAGTGACACTTTAGGTCTGCTGACAGAAGTCAAAATTCAATCCAAAGAGATATCAATGGCTCAAAACAGCAGGCTGTGAAGTCTAATCAGAAGTTAACACAATAATATATATATATTGATTCCTGATGACAATATATGCAGTGAGGTCTGAAGCCATTAGCAAAAAATAAAAGTCTTCTGTTCTTCATTTTCATAATTTAATAGGAATTAGCATAACTATTTGAGTTCAGTCAATCTCTTATAAAGCATTGACAGGTGCTGAGCAGAGATGTCAGTTTCACGATGGACCCTCACCTCCTCTCCACCCTCATCCACTAGTGTCCAGTTACCAGATGCAAGTCCTGGAAGACTGTTGCCCTTCGCGTCACTGGGCGTCATGTGTCCCAGGAAGTCTGCACGATGCCTGCATGTCAAACACTCCATATTCAATTAAACGGACAACGCAAAGCTAAAATGTCTTCATCTCTAGTTCATGCTTTTTGTTATAACTGTTTTAAACCAAAGTAATAGCTTTTTGAGTCAGACTCAATGGTTATGATATAAACAATAATAGAGATCATATTAAAGGACAAAATTCAATGGATCATGAGGTCAATTTCCAATAAAGCTAAACGTTACCTCGCTGGAGACATGAGGATAGCCAGGGCCTGCATGAAATGATACACTCCAGATGGGTTATCCAATACTTTGATCTATGGAAGCAAAGTAGGTTCAATTACTATTATAAGACAAGCAGATATTTGAGATTTTTTAAAACATATATTTTTACATTTCCCTGTTAACATTTACTACGTCACTGTTTCAGCTCATGTGAGTCACATATCACGGCTCTGCTTCAGTACCTGTAGGAATGGCACAGCCCATTTCCCCACACCTGCCGGGCAGCAGAGCAGGTGGTTTAGGATGAACAGATGATCTCCTGTAGAACCGACCTGATGCAGCACAGATGCCTGGATGGTGAAAAGCAGATCTTTTAAACTAGCTCCTTTTAAATCTGGAGTAATGTAAGGGTATTCATATTGCAAGCTAAGAATAAAATATTTACAAGCAATTTATAGCTACTAATATTTTATATAAACTAAATATTACAAATACACTATTGTTCAAATGTCCAATTTCTTATGTTTTTGAAAGTCTCTTATGCGTACCATATTTCTTTTAGTTTATTTGATCAAAAATACATTAGAAACAGTACTATTGTGAAATATTATTATTATTTAAAATAGCTGTTTTGCATTTTTATAAAATAATTAATTAATATTTTCTTATATTATGATCTCATGTTATCTTAGCCTTGCAATTTTTCAGTACATCAGCTGGTTATTGGGGTCTTTACCAGCCTCTGAAGCCATAGATGGATGTCAGCCTGAAACTGAGAATCATCTAGGACCCGTCGGGTGAAGATGAACAGCACACTGATGCTCTCCTTCAGCGGTTGCAAAGAGGAGGGTTGAGACTTTGGACTCACTGAGAAGTTAAAACATAAAACAAACCACACAAAAATCAATAGACAGCATGACATTCAAAATCACAGACAGAATTACTTTCGGCAGTAATCCTATCCTTTTTCAATGATGAGTCAATTGAGACAAAACAAAAGTGATATATTTGTCAGTTTTGGTCCAGTCTTTGGATAAAAGTGTCTACTGAATACACACAAACATAGATTTAATATGCCTCAAAATTATTTATTAATTTAATTAGCCTTAAAATTTAAATTTTTACCTTTGTCAGAGATTGATGTTTTATCAGACCAAACAACCAGTGTAAAATATGAAAGTATTTCTGAAAGTCATTGTACTCATTAGCAAACAGTGTAAACTAACCAATTGTTTGTGTTTCATGTACAGTCTAGACTTATCAGTGTGAACTTGCCTGTGCTTGTATCTTGCACAGCCACACTCTTGGTGGTGGGGTTACTGCTGAGCAAGCGGTACAGATAAGACTCCACTTGCAGACGGGACAGGATGGAAGTGTATGAGTGCAGGGCCACTGTCTGATGGAGAATTTCTGCTTTTGCAGAAAACAGATGCTTCAGCTCAGCTAATGCTGCCTCGTTCAGTGTCACCTCCTGGTAGCAGTGGTAGCCATACACCTTGGTCTGATCCGCACATACACCCTGTAAAGCAAAAAAAAGGTGTGTTTGTGATGAATTACATAGACCAATGCAATGTATTTTTATGCTACAGGCATGGTGTGACTTAAACAAACAGCTGGGTTTACAGTTTTGACACGGACATACTATAAAACTTTATTAGACTGGTGATCACACTACTACAACAACATTCAACATTTAGCTGATCAGGGTTGTGTCATTAACCGATTCCTGAATTTGTTTTGAATGGGATTTGACTCTAGTTGAATTCAAATAAATTCATATTCAAATATATTCATATTGCTTTAACTACTGAAGAAAGGCTTTTTTATTTAGATAATTAAAAGACTGTCTTGACATTTCACAGTTTAAAGGCTTTAATAGAACTATATTTAGACAGAAAGATAGACAGATAGAGACAGACAGATACACCGACAGACACAGACAGACCAATAGACAGAATGACAAAAAGATAGACAGGTTGTCTTGACATTTTAAAGTTTATAGGATTTAATAGAACAATATTTAGATAGAACGACAGACAGACAGACAGATAGACAGATAGATAGATAGACTTGACATTTTAATAGAAAAATAGAGTAGAAATAGAACAATAGATGATAGAAAGATAGAAAAAAGAGCAACAGACAGATAAAAGGCACAGCAGATAGACAAATAGATAAAAAGAACAATAGATAGACAGAAAGATGGATGGACAGATACGTTGGTATAACTCACCTGTAATGAAAGCCTTTCATCCTTGAAGCTCCACAGGCGATTCTGCACGTTTTTGCAGTCCGAATTGGCAGCCTGCAGTTCAGTCTGGGCCTGCGTCAGCTGCTTACGGCACCTCCAGTAGCTCAGCAGCAGCTCGTACAGCTCATGTCCTTCTTGGTGGGCCAGACTCTGGAACTCTGCTTCAAGAATCGCCACGTTTTCCAACCAGGAACCGGGTTCCCATGTACGTAGCTGCTCGCTAGTGAAGTGCTTCACAGACTGGCAGGTCCTGGGCAGCTCTGGGTAAAGCCTCTCCCTGGGTCTCTCCACGTCAGCGACCTCCACAGGGACCAAGCTGGGTGGCGAGGATTCCTGGTTAGCCAGAGGAAGAACAGCTGGAGCTACTTGTCTCTCAGAGGCCACTGGCATAAAGGAAGCATCTAACAGTCCATAGGTAATAGAATACGAGCCCTCCGAAAGCTGAGGCTCAGAGCAGGAAGATGGGATAGATGGATATATAGAAGGGACACTAAATGGCTCAAGTTTAGCACTAAGAGTTTTGGGATCACTTTGCTGGGATTCAACGGGTGCTGAAGTTTGTTCCACCCGAGGTGCCATGTCTTGTAATGGCGTTTTATGCCCTTTCTCTTCATTGCAAGACGGTTTCTTTGCTATTTCAGTCTTGTTTGACAAGAGCTCTTGGTCCTTTTCAGCTTTGTCATTATGGTCTAGTGAGGTCTGAGTGGCGGGTGGTTTCAGACCAGGGGCTGGAGGCACATGAGAAAGGCTGAGGGGGACATCAGTGAACTCTGAAGCTGACGCGGACTCAGTAACTTCTCTAGAAGTTCCCGAGGGCTGTCTAACACTCTCTGACTGTATCTCCTTTTTTACCTGTTAATGAAGCATAACTATTTTTAGGATTATGAGAAATTTGCATCTTTAATAAAAACAAGATCTAAAGTGTCAACATTTAAAGTGTAGTAAGACAAGTATATGGGTGTGTTTTCACCTGTGGCTTCCCACTGGATTTGGACTTTGACTTTTTGGGTCTCACAGCCTCCATCTCCACACAGGTATCCACATTATTGTTATAAAATTACTCCATTCTTCTAGACCCACACAGAACCCTGCAGCACACAAGTCATGAAGCTTTAAATGAGAGAAGTCTCAGTTCCCTTTCAATTTCATATGGAAAGAAAATGCAATGAAAGGGAAAGGTGACTGAGACTATCATTACTAAACAATCAGCAACATCCCTTTTTGTGTTTCACTTAAGAAAGAATGACATATGCTTTTGTAACAACTTTCTATAGCACTACAATAATAGATAGATAGATAGATAGATAGATAGATCTTTCACTCAAGAAATAAAGTCGCATGGGTTTATAATATGCGCACGAGTAAATTATGATAAAACAATAACATTCATATGGAACTGATAGCGTTAAAGGTGAAAATAGAATAGAAAACGAAACCACAAATGTAAAAAAACGCAGCGGAAATTCTAGAAGTAGGAGATTCTACCATCCATATCAGACTGCATGTAAAAGCCAACTGACAGCAACAAAACATTGAAGAGCCCGATCAGTAGTTCATATCCAGCTGTTTCAACTCTCTTTCTATTCTTAACAGTGGGTTAATTAGTTGCTATTTCCACGAAGAAAGCTGTTATTTCTAGTAAAAAGTAAACCGACATAGACAGCTAGATCATAGGACTGCAGGGAGGAGCGGATCAACCCACATAACCCCTGCTAACATTGGTGATTCGCTCTCCCAGCAAATCATCTCAGAATCATCCCGTGTGAAAGGAAGATTAGTATAACTCACCTAAGTGATATTACGTGATATTAGTCTTTTAAGCAGCAGCTGTCAGTCAGTCAGTCATAAAGCTTTGGCGGAGCTGTCAGCTCTTCAGGGTTTGTTTTGTTCCTGGACGCTATCGCAATACAGATCACGTGTCCCTCCCATAGGGCCCTCCACCCTCCAATGGCGAGCAGGAAGGGACAAAACGCGAAGCCATTATGAGGCACAATTTAAAATTTGATACATTTTAGTGCTACTCGTATATGTCTTTTTATAGTTTTTAATAGTAGATGACTAGTTATAGTTATTGAAAAAAGGCCTTTTAAAACGGCATATTCTGACAACTTCTTGATTATTTTATGAGGCAACAATTTTTTTGTGGTTTAATAAAATGTTATATTAATAATACCATGCTTGCTTGCAAGGGACAGATAAATAAATGCGTGTATATATTTGATTTGATTTATTCTTCTGCAGTAAGTAAATATAATGCAGGACTATATATAATACATGTGTGTTTGATCTGCAGGACACTTGCCCTCCAGGATCAGGAATGGACACCCCTGGTCTATAGTATATGGAGGCAGTTATGCAGTGGTTCTCAAACCTCTCCATGAAGTACCCCCAGCACTGCACATTTTGTATGTCTCCCTATATCTGACACACCCACTTCAGGTCGTGCAGTCTCCACTAATGAGCTGAAGAGTTGAATCAGGTGTGATAGATGAGGGAGACATACAAAATGTGCAGGGCTGGGGGTACTCCAAGACAGGTTTGAGAACCACTGCAGTAGAGAGTCGAGTCTTGCACATCTTCAGGTGATAAGTTAAAAAAAAAATAATAATAAAGTCCTGCATACACTACTGTGCAAGAGGTAGGTTTCTTCAATCACCTTGGAGACATTGCCACAGTTCTTCTGGATTTAGTCTGTTTTAGTTTTTTTTATTCATGTCATGCCAGACAGACTGGATGATGGTGAGATCAGATCTCTGTGTGGAGCTTATTGGCTGTTTTCAGACTACACTTACAAAACTGGATTATTACACTTGATGTCAAAAGCCATGTTTGGAAATATAAAATGATATTTCCTACTGACACACTACTGCAAAAGATAGAAATAACTGGCTTTAAACTATTTTGTTGCTGTTGAAAATACTAATGGCCTAAGACTTTTGCCCATTACTGTACATGCAATGCATAACATATAATTGACTACAATTCTCCATTATTTGAAATAAAACCAGGTCAAACCTTTGTGTAGTATATTTCAACCATAAATAAGGCTAAAGACAACTTATCTTGCAGGATTAAGGATTTTTTAAATATTAATTTCATAGATACAGAAGCAGCACTGAAAAATTTTAGAAGTCCTGAAGTCACGTCATCAAAAGATTCCAGGGCCACCCTCAGCCCCAGAAGTAAGCCTCCTCCAAACTGCTCTTGATGTTGCTCTGATTTTCTCTCCTCTCCCTGGTCACCAGGTTGGCTTCACCCTTTTGTAGATGTCTTCTCTGAGCGGCCTTCTGCTGTTTGGTGAGCCGTCTCTTCACTTTCTGCCTGATGACCTCCTACATTGGGGTACATCAACTCATTACTTTAATACAACAACATAAATCTTAAAACTTATTTTTTTCCTATTTATATATTTAAAAAATCCCTTCATCATGCTTTTGTGACCGCAGGGGTAAACTTTTAAACCTAGAATTAATATATTAAAGGTTTGTACTCACTGGTGGTATGGTAGAACAACTGCCAACACTTCCGATGCTCATCTCACTGGTTGTTCTCCTCCTGTGCTCATTCTCAAGGCTCACTTGATCTCTGTGGGATCACATGCATCAAATCAATATATATAAAATTAACGGTTTTATATAAAGGAATACTTCACACAATAATGAAAATTCATTATTAAGATCATAGCAAACACAGGCTGTCAAGCATCAAAAAGAGCAAAAAATAATTTAAGGTCATAATTCATGGACAATCTTTTTTCCCACTGCAGCTCTGAAACCAATTATGCCATAACATAAATGACTTTAAGAATGCTTCAACTAGGCAGCTTAAATTATTGACAGATAGTAGATATTTTTTTAAAGGGATAGTTCACCCTAAAATGAAAAAAATGTCCTCCCCATCATATTCCAAACCCTTAATATTACATTTGAATATTTTTACTCTTTTTTTTCTTCTTTTTTTTAAATATTCTCTCAAGTCTCATGCTTTTTGTCCATCCACTGAAAGTCCACACAACCTAAATTTTCAAGCTTCAAAAAGTGCATAAAGACAGTGTAAATGTCAAGCAGTCTAGTCATTTGAAGAATACACGGTCACTTTATATGATGAACCGCTTTAATTTAGGCTTTTATTCATATTTAAACAATGATCATAGCACATCAAATACGGTAAACAGAAGCTTAACCATACTTGCTTGCTGTGCAAGAACAAACCTCATTGAGGTGAAGAAATTACAATTTTCATTTTTGGGTGGACTATCCCTTTTAGGATATAAGGCAAAATATCAACTGTAGCTTTATAGCAGTAGGGAAAGGTTACATGTGTTCAAGCAAGTTACGATATTAAAAAATCACATCATATCAAAAAAAGAAACAAAAAAAGATTCCTTACCTGAAAGACCTGAACTCTTTGTTGGATGCAGACAGGTCAACCAAATCAGGACACTCATCCTCTACCTCATTCTCCTCTTCCCTCTCCAAGTCTTTGGAAATGTCAGAAACAGTTTCTTTCTGAATGTCTTCTGAGAGGATCTCCTCTTCACATTGAGCTCCATCATGTTTCTCTGTGTCATTCTCTTCTATTGGGGTCTCCTTGCTAATTTTTAGCCCTTCCAGCTCAAGCATGGCATGTTTATACTCCTCCATGCTGACAACGTCCTCTGAGGCGGCCTGATGTGTCATCATCTTCATCCCCACTGAGTCCTTCACCCTCTGGACCTTCAGGGTGGAGCAAACGGTCATCCTGCTGCAGCTCCTTGGTGTAGCCACTAGCTGAGATCTCCACATCGAGCGAGCAGGCTCTTCTGTATAGAGGAATATGTAACGTAGTTATGTCTCTAAAGTCTAGACTATCTAAAGTCTGATTATAACAAAGCAAGCTATTAGAAAAATTACCTGATATCTTTGAATGTTGGATAGAGTTCGCTTTCATAGTTAAATCTTTAAGAAAAAATACACACTTGACATCTCGATCGAAGTACCTTTTGCAAAACAATTAAAAACGTAATTTCAGTGCCAGTGCTTATTATTGAATCATTATCAGTTTAATATCAGGCTAGATAGTCACCATTCTGCATTTGTATGTGAGGTGGAGACCATCTGAGGGAAGTCAATCATTGTGATGTGGTCGTTGTCACCGATCATGAGGTTAAATTCATTGAAGTCTCCATGGATCAGGCCATGATTGGCAAGTTTGACGATTAGTTCCATGACTTCACTGTAAAACGCATCTGGGTCTTGATTTTCTCGAACCTGACACCTATGTGAAAAATACAGCAACATTCAATTGACACCTATGCTACAGTCATGTGTTAAAAAATAAAAATAAACTAAAAACAAAAGTGGTATTTCTATGTCCTTTCTATAAAGAGTTGTACAAGACAGATTAATACAGCAAACCACTGCACAGTTTGGCAGTTGTCAACGACCTTTCTACACAAGTAAATATTTAATGCAAGAAAATAAAGCAACGCGTGAAGGTCTGTTCATCTGAAGCAAAGTGCAGGTAAACTCACAGTGGGTAACCACTAATGAGCTCCATAACCACTGCATGTCTGTTGTAGTCCACTGGCTTTGGGACAGGAAACCCTTGATCATATAATGCCTGTTGGAAAAACAAGGACTCTTAAATAAAATAAATCCATACAAACATTAGCCTGCGCAAGAACTAGCTGTTTTCTTGTCTTAATTTTATTAAATTTACTTTATATTATTTCATTACTATATGGTGATTTATGTTGAAATTATTTCAGAAGACAAGAGATCTATATCTAGCACAATGTAGTAGATCGGTTGCAAGGGTCAACAGACAATTATACAGTTGCTTAGAATCAAGATTTTTTGGTTATTAGTTATGGGATACAATGGAGAACTTCAAATAGTAGTAGTAATTTAATTTTATTGCCATGTCAGCATCTAAGGCTATCTTCATGGAAAACTGAGTTGCGGAACTTTAAATAAAAGCATCTGCTCTATCAGTGATAGAAGAATGGATTGAACAATACATTTGATTATTTTAATAATCGAACCAGATAAAATGCAAAATACGACACTGGCTTGTCCCAAAAACAACAGCAGAAGTGTGTCTCTATATCCTCTTGGAATTTATGGATATTACCTTCATGTATGTAAACTCTTTCATGTCAGAGAGCCCGGACAGGTACAGCCATGACATCTTGTGTCTGTGCTTGTGGTAATCTCTCTTGTTCTTCAAGTTCCTGAAGGATGTCCTACCCAGTCTGTGAAGTTTCAGAGCAAACTGCTCCCCCTCAGCATTTGCAACAATGTAAATATCTGAGATATAAAAAAAAGCACCTTAGTTCTGGAAAAAAATCTCCTTTATGATAAGTGAAAATATTTGTGGGATGAAGGGAGAAACGTATCATTAAAAAGGTGTTGACGTCTTAATGCGAAGAAATAAATTCTAATCAAAAATGACCCAGACCTGACTCTTTGCCGACTCCCATCTGGTTTCCAACTGACAAAATAACATCCCTGGAAGAAAGTGTCTTCAGTGCCAGGTAATCATAGCCACCGTATTTCAGCCGATACCCCTGCACAGCTAGAGAGGAAACATGGTCAAAAGCCGCACTCATTCACAAAAACATTACGGGATGAAACTGAAGTCTGACGCATTTACTTTTGCTGCGTTCATAGGCCAGTAGATTGTGTTTGACCAGCTCCCGCAAAACCTTGTTGCATCCTCCATGTTTGAGACTGGCAATAGACGCAAATCAGACTTACTGGGACGATCTTGTGGTTCTTCATACCCATTTCCACCTGTGTATCCCGGAGAAACGATTTCAAACCACGCTTACTGAACCCTAACTGGACCTTTTGAATTGGACTGACAACTAACTAATGGATCAAGTTTCATAAACAGAACGTTGAACACCG